AGAAGCCAAAATCTTCATGATATGATAAAGAAGGCATATGTTTCTTTTCTGAACCTATTTTAAAAAGAGCTAAATGTGAAAATTCCAAGGGGGAAAAAAAACTTTACAAGACAATAATGGCCTAAATGTGTAGCAAACTAAATAAGGAGTGCTTTAAATCTTCTTGGAGTGCAAAAAAAGGAAACACTTGACCTTGACACTGGCAATTGCTTCTCCAAGAATTAATTTAAATAACATGAGTTTGCACTTCAACTTCTCACTAATTGTTTCTACAGAGAAGAATATTTCCATAATCTTATGTTGTAATAGTTCTAAATTTTAGACTTAACCTATCGACAAAGCATGGAAGACCTAATTATAGTTAGAGCCACCTGTAATCCTGTCCATGTAAAGATAATAATATAGTTGGTAGAAGTTGGGAAGAACAGAGAGGGTAATGCAGGGTCTCTAAATTCCTTTTCAACCTAGAAGATAATGAAGAGATACAACTAAAAAAAAAATAGCCCAAAACACATAAATTGAATTAATGTTATTTGAAGAGACACTTACTACTAACAAAATTCAGGAGGTAAAAGGTAAGATTTATGTGAGCAAAATTGCTCATTTTTCATGCTTTAGAGTCAAATGATACTGACAAAAATTGTAAGTCACTACTTACAAATGTATGGTTTAGAATTTTTTGGAGATAACCACCAAAAAACTGAAGATAGATATGGTTAAAAATCATAGTTCCAGGACTGAGCTGAGGGAGACAAATGTTCACTTTCCATTTAATACATTCTTGATCATTTCCATCCCTAGCATGTGTTTTTCTTTTAATAATAACTTAAAAAATAACAAAATGATGGTAAAAAAATTTAAATATAAGGCCAAAAAAAGAAAACCAATTAAATATAAACTTGATATTCATGCTTCCTTACTTTGTAAACTAATTTCTTCTTGAACAGAGTGGAGAGTAGCCAAAAATTTAGGCTTTGGGATTAGATAGACTTGAGCTTGAATTCCAGGTTTAGCACTTATGAATAAAGAGATTTTAGGCTTCATTTATAGAACTTTCCCAAGCCTCAATTTCATCAGTCACAAAACAGTGATAAATTTAGCTGGAAGAATTGTTATGACAATTAAAAATGATAATTTATATTAAAATACATTCATGAGATGATATATAATAAAACTCAAAATGAGATAAGCTATTAAAATATGTGCCAGGCACATATTAAGGACTCAACAAACTGTTGGTGTTACAGTCATTAACCCTCATGTTACTCTCTGCTGGGTGTGTAGCTGGCAATTCAACAATAAAATCAAACTTAATAGCATTGATATTTCCAGGCAACTACAATAGAGACGATTAATAATTGGACATCTTTTGTGCCTGCTGGAACAGTGATTCTGAAGCTTTAATATGCATATGAATCACGTAGGGTTCTAGCATATTCTGATTCAGTGGGTCTGGGATGGGGTCCAAGACTATGCATTTCCAACGAGCTGTCAGAGGATGTTAACACTGCCTTCCAGGGGCCACACTTTGAATGGCAAGACCCTAGATGATAGGTTGGCCTGGCAAAGGTATTTACAGATAGGAAATGTTCATATTATAAATCTGGCCCTTATTTAAACAAGATAACAAGGAATCGATTTGTATTCCTCTTTTATGTTCAGAAATTATATCAGGTAATAAATGAGTGAAGACAGGGTAAATGAATCTTCCATAAAAGGTCAGTGTGGTCTTGTCACTCTGTACTCCCCAGGGATCCGCCCTTGGGCTGGTTGGTGTACTCACATGTGGGTGGTTCGGTGCTGTTTATGTACCACTGTCCCCTGCTCCCTCCGGGTTCCTGTTTGATCACATGCCTTGATGACATGTGAAGGGTCACATGCCAGGGATGGGAAATCTCTCCTGCTAATTTACTCTGAGAGATCTGCTGCCTCTTTGACAACTGTGCATTACAGTATTCTCACAAGCACTATTACAATGAATCTGACTCAACTAGAACATTTGGGGTGACATTTTAAATATTCCATATTGATAATCCCTTTGGAAAGAAATTTAGCAACATCCAAAAAGTGCATATGCATTTACCCTCTGAACCAGCAGTCCCTCTTCTAGGACTCTACCCTGACGACAGAATTTTGTGGCACACAGAATAATAAGCGCCCCAAAGTTGTCCATGTCCTAATCCCCATAATCTGTGACTATTACCCTACATGGCAAAAGGGACTTCAGAGTTATAATTATGGGCCTTGAGACAGAAAGGTTATCCTGAATCAGTCAAGTGGGCTCAAGGTAATTCAAGGACCCTTAAAGTAGAAGAGAGAGGCAGAAGGGGAGACCAGAATAATGCCGTGTTCCCACCATTGCTGGCTTTGAAGATGGAGGAAGAGACTTGAACCAAGGAATTTGGGTGGTTTCTAGAAGCTACAAAAAGCAAAGAAAGGGCCTCCCTCAAGAGCCTCCAGAAAGAACACAGCCCTGCTGATACCGTGGTTTCAGCCCAGAGAGACCAGACTACTGGCCTCCAGAACTATAAGATTGTGTTGCTTTAAGTTTGTGGGAATTTGTGAGAGCAGTAATAGAAAATGAACACACCTTCCATAAATATGAAGCAGCATACGCGTATGCGTAGGGCCATCACTGTGGTTTTATTTATAACAGCTGCAGATAGGAAATAACCCAAAACCCCATCATTACAGAGTAGCTGAACAAATACAGTGGCACACTCTGCACCAGAGCTGGCATCCCAACTCTTAACCAACGTGCCACTCGGCCGGCCTTATTGTTCTCTTTTTTGCTCACCTTTGTGAGCAAAAGAATGAGGGGCCAGCCGAGTGGCTCAGTTGGTTAAGAGCTCTCTCAAGGGTT